GCCTGAGGAATCTGGTCCTCTCACCAGGGGACCTCGACTCTCCTGCCTACCCAGACTCCTGTCACTATCCCTGAGCTGTGCTCACCCTGGCCCCCTTGCACTGCCTTCAACAGGTCCCACTTGCTCCCGCTGCAGGGCCTTTGCACAGGCTGCCTAGACTTAACAGGTATCCTTTTTCCAAGATAGCTCCACGGCTAACTGGTTGACCTTCTTCAACAAATCTCTTGCTCACACATCACCAAAGTAGCCCTTTCTGATCTCAACCCCTACCTAAGTACTCCCTTAGCTGGCCCCACCATTCCCTGTGTTGTTGCTATTATTATTTTTTTATTGTGGTAAAGCCACATAATTTTCCACTTTTAAAGATCACAATTCTGTGGTGCATTCACCTCACTGCCACTCACTTCCACAACTGTATCATTTTTCCAAACTGAAACTCTGTATCCACTGAACAAACCCCCTCCTTCCTTCTAACCCTCCCACCCCCTGCCCTAATCAGCACACTATATTCTGGCTCTGTGATTCCTACCTTACTAGGTACCCCAGGTAAGCAGGATCATAGAGTTATGTGTCTGGGTCCTTGTGTGTCTGGCTGAATTCATCAAAGCATCATGTCTTTAAGTTACATCCATGTTGTAGCACATGTCAGAATTTGCTTCTTTTTAAGGTTAAATAATCTTCCACTGCACCCACACACGCTTTGTTTATCCATTCATCCATCAAGAGACACTTGGGTTGTTCCAACCTTTGACTACTAYGAATAAGACTCCTGATAACAAGGGTGAGCAGATACCTGCTCAACTCCCTGGTTTTCAATTCTTTTAGATACACACCTATGAGTAGAAGTGCCACATTCCATGGTGATCTATGTTCAGCTTTTTTGAGGACCCACCATTCCATTTTCCACGGAAGCTGTGCCACTTTGCATCCCCCCCATTCTTGTTGACGCTTGTTATTTTCTGCTCCCCTAACCCTCTCTTATTTTTCTCCATAGCACTTAACAGCCCGTCATACTCGATTACCTGCTTATTTAAATTGACTCCCCCCTCCCCAACTAAAACTTAACCTCTTAGGGACAGGACTGTTTTCTCACTGCTCTATCCTAACAATGGGATTTGCACATAGCAGATGCACAAGAAAATCTGCTGAACAAATAAAATGCTTGAATCGCAACCACTTTAACAGGCTTTTGAATCTGCTAAATAGATACGCCACACCAAGTTCATTAACCTCTACCCCGTTCTGGGAATCTCAAAGTTTAACAGGTGGTGATGATGATGATGATGATGATGATGATGATGACGGCTGTATATTCAGCTGATCCTCATTAGCAATCATCCAGGAACCACAGACACGGTGACAATTGGAAGGAATCATAAAAATTGTGTCATTCGTGTCTTTAACTTCAAGCCTAATCAGTGTCACCAAAAGAGCCACAGCAAAACTTAAAACAGCAAAAGTGTTGGGGCGGGGGCGGGGGCGGGGGCGGGGGGGAGGGGAAGCAGGGGTGGGGATGTGGCTCAAGTGGTGGCCTGGCACGCATGCAGCCCGGATTCAATCCTCAGCACCACATACAAACAAAGATGTCGGAAAAAAAAAAAAAAGAGAGAGAAAAAAAAAAAAAAGATGTCAGGTCCACGGAAAACTAAAAAATATTAAAATTCTCTCTCCTCTCTCAAAAAAAAAAAAATTTTTAAAAAAAGCACTTTTAGTTCATAGAAAGCCTGCAAATGCAATGTTTTAAAAGATCAAACCAACAGCAAAAGACATGGGACAGTGGCCTTGTGTAGACTCCTTAATTAGACGTATCCAAGGATAGCTTGACCTAGAAACCTAASTTTAGGCCTACTTTTAAAATTTTTTCCCTGTCATTCATATTTGGTGTTTGTTGTTTCATTTGGTTTGTTTTTTAAGAGCTGCATGTAAAAAAAAAAAATCAGAATTTCCATGAGCTCATCATAAATGAGCTAAAAAGCCACGTGAGTTTTTTCTCTGAAAGTCAGTGGGTTGTATTCCATGGATCAGAGGCAGAGTCGGTCTCTCCCTCAGATCTACCTCAGCTGAAAATACTTCAAGGGAAAAGGCCACAGATCTTTCTTGTAGAASTAGTCTATTCTCCTCCGAGCAACCATCTCATCTCTCAGTCTTCAACAGAAGAYACTCAGGCTGGAGATTTTGTGCAACAGTAGAGCACTTATTTACCCGCCTATGCCTGAGGCCCTGGGTTCGATTTCCCCAGCACCAAGAAAAAAAAAATAGAAATCCATCTCCCTCCAAAAAAACACCCATTCTATTTCAAATGGATGATACTATTGTCAAGCTTTAAAGACTTTCACCGGACTTGATGTGAAGACTAATTAATCTGGAACATGACGATCTTTCCCAACAAGATAAAGAAAATCTTGATGAGATTTTATGTACTGAACTGAATTGGTCAAAGAACAAGTTGTTCTTTCAATGTGCACACTCACATGCGCAAATAYGCACACTTGAAAGAGATGAAAAACTGAAATATTCTGCGCAGCCGGTGACGAGCTAAAAGGGAGGGTAGATGAGAAACGACCAGTATTTAACAGATCAGACTAAATGCGGTTTAAACTCTTAAATTCTCTGCATGGAGAAACACGTGACCCTTTCAACCTGCGTGGACACCTTGATGTAAATGATCAATATGTAGTTCAGGGCTGGGGATGTGGCTCAAGCGGTAGCKCGCTYGCCTGGCATGCGTGCGGCCCGGGTTCGATCCTCAGCACCACATACAAACAAAGATGTTGTGTCAGCTGAAAACTAAAAAATAAATAAATATTAAAAATTAAAAAAAAAAAAAAATATGTAGTTCAGGTGGGCACAGTGGCGCACTCTGTATTCCCAGTAACTAGGGAGGCTAAGGCAGGAGGATTTCAAGTTCCAGGCCAGCCTGGGCAACTTAGTGAGACCCTGTCTTTAAATAAAAGGGTTGAGCCGTTCACACCTGTAATTCCAGCAGCTCAGGAGGCTGAGGCAGGAGGATCATGAGTTCAAAGCCAGCCTCAGCGATGGCAAGGCACTTAGCAACTCAGTGATACCCTGTCTCTAAATAAAATACAAAATAGGGCTGGGGATATGACTCAGTGGTTCAGTGCTCCTGAGTTCAATTCCCGGTACCTAAATGAATAAAAAAAAAATTAAATTAAAAAAAAAAAGGTTGGAGATGTAGCTCAGTACTTGCCTAGCATGAGAAAGGCCTTAGGTTCAATTTCAGCACCCTCACAAAAACAAAAAATGTCTACCTCAGGTACACATCCACCTCAGAGAAGCCTAATGCTGAATGTGGACAATGTTCCTGGTGATTTTGTGTGGTACTCTGATTCAGACTTTCGACATATAGTTTTCCAAATGAACTTGTCCACTATTAAAGGCCTCCTCAAATATCCACTCTTTTATCCCCATCTATGACTATGTCATTTCCTCCTTCTACCAAGTATAGTTAGCTCATCATCATATGACATAAGAATCATTTCATTAACAGCAGTTTACTCCCACCCAGCCACTCSTGCAATATTGCTCCAATGTTTGGGGTCACATGTTGCTTCCGAGCAATTTCACACTCTATACCTTTTCTTTACATACCTGGCTTAAAGGTACAGGTAAAGATATATATATATATGAGCCACATGACATATGGCTGTGCATCTAGGTTACAAGAACGTAAAGTGCCAGTCTTGATATTTTAGCAATCTAGTAGTGGACAGTCTATGGACCAGTTTCTCCTCGTCTGCACCTCACTCTGAAGGGAAGAACTCTACCTTGTCTTTGGCTCTATGAGCTCGCACACAGTCATGAGTCAATTAAACTCCAAGAATGAACTAGACCTTACACATCCAAATGCTTCTCACTCCACCAGCACTCCTGAGGATCTTATCAACAGGAAACAAAAGCACTATACTGCTATAATGAAGCGTCTGGCTTTTATTTTCTAATTAGAAAAGCCCAAAGATTGTAGCCCAGGGAACAGCTAAATATTTAGAATGTTAAAGAAGTTACCAAGACCCAGGCGCCCTCTGCCCCCCCACCCCCATGGCCCTGTTGTTTACCCTGCTCTAGACCATTTCAGAAGAAAAAACTTTTGTCAGCCAAATCTGCAGCAATGGGGATGTACATGCACCCGCTGAGACCTCCCTCGCCTGAAGTGCAGTCTGACCATTTTGGGGAAAAAAAATAGGAGCTGTTGTGTTTACAGATAAACGCTGCCCTGGCTCCTATCCCACAAGAAGCACCAAAACAGTAGAGACACATCAGATTCCTTGACATGCAGGTAGTTTCAGTCAGGGTATTCTTCAAGAACTAACTTCCCATTTTAAAGTTCTAATTCTTTCAACTTGCCAGCAACCACTCTCATTTCTTGGAATTCAACCTACTCTAATTAAACACATGTTCACACTAAGAAAAAAAAGTGACTGTTTTTGAGAGAGGCATTAAATTTTTGCTTACATATCTTGGCAGATGAAACACACTGCAATCATCAGAATCTAAAACATCAGCTTGCTTCTCAGGTCAGCGGTGTCCCCCGCCCCCTTTATAGCTCCATTTAATGCTTTATACCCTCAAAAGCCTTCATGCTGTTTCACTTTTACACGCCTGTAATCCCAGCCATTTGGAAGCCAAGGCAGGAGGTTTKCAAGTTTGAGGCCAGTCTCAGCCACTTAGCAAGACCCTAAGCAACTTCAAGAGACCCCGTCTCAAAACAAAGAATAAAAAGAAAAGACTGAGGATATGGTCAATAGTGAAGTCACCTCTGGGTTCAATCCACAGTACAAATAAATAAATAGTGCAAAGCAGGGCTATCCACCAGCTCTCTGCTTCCCTAAAGCCCTCATTAAAGGCAGTGACAAATTTTGAAGACCCAGCCATGGAGTTACCTTTCTTTCCTRCTCCCCACTCCCATGACTGCTTAGAGAAAACTAAACAGATTAACAACAAAAACTCATTACTGACTACAGCACTCAGGCTTCCACACTCACCTGACCCCGGGTCAGGCACTCTGTTACCAAAGTACGCCCAGCCAGGAATGCGAATCCTGCTCCTCGGTAGTCAGCGCCTAGATATTTAGAAAGAAAGACCACTGAGTATGAAACTCTCTGGGTCTCTTAACAGAAATGCTCCTCCTAATTTCACCTGTTTTCCCTCTTTAGACCCCTTTTCTGGAAGGACTCTCTCCCCTCCAAATTTGGCAGAAAGGTTGGTGGGATCACCTGGCAAAGATTACAGGTAACTTCGCTTGTTTATTTCCAGGGCATAACTGACAAGTGAGACCGGGCACACACAAACTTCGAACGTGCATGAAGCTGGGTCTAAGCGAAGTGTTTGACAGATCCCAAAGCACTCGATTCCCCGCGCGGACSATAAGTATCGGAAACCCGCATCCTCATTGGGCAGGAGCTCAGTCCAGACTTCTGCCCTCACCGCTCCCCCAGTTTTCTTCCGTTTTTTTAAAAAAACCCTCCCCGCGGGGGCCCCCACGCATGCATTATTCTCCTAACCATGCAGCGCGAGGGCTACATTTTTAGAAAGATTGCTTCCTTGAGCAGACTCACTTATGACACCCCCTCAACCCCCCTCAAAAAAAAAAAAAACAAAACTATTTCCTGCAGCTGCTCCAACAGTTTCCAACTTGGGGGAATGCCATTTCGGTGCAGAATGGGGAGCCCTCAAAAGCCAGGCACAGGAGTCCAGGGAGGATATCTGGGTTTGGTTTTTTTTTAAAGCCTGAAAGGAGACCTCCAAATAAACTGCCGGCAGTAAAAGAACCCCCACATACATGCCAAGTGCATGCAAGAACTCCCAGAAAGCGGGGCAAAAACTTCTGCGCCCGGGGAGCCRATGCCAACTCCCCGCGCCCTCTGCCCGGCCCCAGCCTCTACCTTGGTGCCCAGGGAGCCACTCCGACTTGGGGGAGCAGGACGAGGAGAGGGGTTAGCAGCCGCTAGGTAATCCCATGTCCGCGAAGAGGGAGCTCGTTCCGTTAGGATGGAAGCGGAACACCCACACCTCCTCTCGGCGTGCGCTTTCTCTCTCTCTCTCCACCCCCTGCCTCCTCCTCCTCCACCACCACCTCCTCCTCCTCCACTCCTCCCACCCCAGCAAGCTTGAGGAAACGCTTCAGCAGAACATCCACATGGTTACTGCACTTTGAAGCGGCTCCAGGCGCTTTTTATAGGCCGGGAAGCTCCCTGGGCAATGTAGTCCGAGTCCCTGGTCGTGCMGGCGCCCAGGGCTCCTGGGAGGAACTACAAGTCCCAGAATCCCCTGGGCTCCAGGGCTGGGCTCTAAATAGATGCGCGCGGGGACGGGGGAGGGGCGTCCTGCGGGGCGGCCCCGCTGCAAARTCGGCTCTCCTCCCGGGCCCGCCGGACTTGCAGCTCGCGATCCCCCAGGACACCCAGCCCGGGGCGCCCCCAACCCCTGGGGACTTTTCTCCTGTGGCTGTGTCCCTTACCCTGAATCCAGGTGACACAGGGGACCGGGAAGCGGGGAGGGGCTTGAATTTCTGCTTTGGGAAGTTTTTTTTTTTTTTTTTTACAAGCTGTTGTCCACCGTTCCACCCCCTCCACCCCCTCTTTGGGTCCCTGAGCCAAGAATTTCAGAAATCCGGGGCACAAAAACGCCAGTGTTTGCGGTCAAGGATTAAAGGCGCGAGGTTGTCTTTACTTAATCTGCTCTGCCCTGCTAGTGTTTCTTGAAAAAACAAAACACAAAAAAACCTAAGTCTGGAAGCGACGGTCCACTCTACCGGGAAGAGAGGCGGGTCGCCTGAGAGCACTTTTCTGAACTGCGTGCGTCTTTCGTCGCCCGGCAGGAGGTAAAGGAACCCTGTTGTGACTTGCCAGCGCAGCGATTGAGACGCAGAAAATAAATAGAAATAGCAATCTCGTTTCTGAGCCTGCTTCTAGCAGACCCCCTGCTCCTGGAAGCTGTAAATGCTTAAGTAAATAAACCGCAAACAGAAAAATAAGGGCTTTGAACAGAGCCGCTCTCGCACAGAGATGCGCGTCCAGGCGAGGCGCCCTCCCAGCATCTCCAAAAGGGGCGAAATGGATTTCAGCCCACTGCCAACTAGTGCTTGAGGTCTCAGGCTATGAGATAGCTTGGGCTCTGGGTTTTGGAAGGAGAGGAAGGGCTTTGCTCCCTACCTCAGATGACGTGTATTCATTCYACAAACGTTTCCTGAGTGTCTACTGGGTGCCAGGAGCTGGGGCACAGTGGTGAGCCAAAACGCAACACAGCATCCCAGACAAGCGCTGCCTGCTGCTGCGTAAGACCTGCTAATGACAGTAATAATAATGATTAAAAAGCGGCTATTTTATCGAGCCCCAGACCACGTGCGCTTTCCATGCATCTTGCATGGAAAGTTTTACCATCTCTAAGTGTATTTTATTATCTTTGTCTGGCAGGTGCACAACTGAGGGCTCAGAAAAATCAGGTAACGTCCCAAGATGTCACTCACAGAGAGTTAAATCCTTGCATGCTTGCCCCCTAGAGTCTGGCTCCATCACCACTTCCTTAAACGGTCTCCCTCCACATTTTAGCAGCAGTCTTTGAGCCCTTAAGCAAGTCATTTTCATCTGTTTGCTCCTGTTCTGCCACCAGAGAGAGGCAATTACTCATTAGAATTTGCCTACTTTCTATCTGGATCACTTGACAGAAGAGCCTTGTGAAGATTTAGGTACAGATTAGAGATGCACCACCTGTAACAAATTATTACTGTGATAATAATGCCAAAACTAATAATTACTGGCATTTATTGGGTGCGTGCCACGTGCCACTCATTGTTTTAAACTGTTTATGTATATCATCTCAGTAAATCCTATTAGTGACCTTTTTTTCCCCCTTTTTCTTTTTTTTTTTTAATCTGTGAGAAAACAGGCACAGAGAAGTTACATCAYGTTCCCAAAGTCACACAGGTGGCTGAGCTGGACTCCCAAAACCTTGACCTTTATTACTGCCCTCTACTGGCTCAGAGAGTTTAAACATATGCAATGTATTATTTAAGGCAAAACTCTTAAGTTGACCAATTTAGGTTCATTATGTTTCCTTCYGCCCCACCTCTCAGCACAATCCCCCAGTTATTATAGAGTCTAATGCCAATGTCTCCCCTATCCTTCCCCATCATCAAGAACACCTCCCAACTGGCCACAACAAAGGAGTACAGAGCTTTATCTGTTCTAGTGAAAAGCACCTGTTCCATCTTCAAAGGGTTGTCAATTCTACTTTGCTAGCAAAGAAAACAAGTCTGTGAAAATGTAACAAGTAAATCAAGAAGGGTATTCATTTCACATGCTTCTAACTCAGAAATGCAATGAAATTCGTGTGTGAGTTTTCCAAAGAATATTCCCATACATTTAAGTGCTGGAGTTAGGCAGCTTTCATCTTTGCTGTACAGTGGACATTTGTCCCCTGTTTGCTTTACCACTGTTTTCCCTCCCAGTTCACAAGTTTCATTAAAGTCCGGGACTTTGTCTCATTTATGCTCACATATCCCACTTTCCCCCACCCAGCAATACTTAGTCTTCTACTTTCACATTTTGGCAGATGTAAAAAAAATTGTTGAAGCCTTTAAAGGAAAGGTGTGTCAGGCGTATGGCAGGCAGCACGACTGTATTTTTGAGCAATGGAAATCTCCCAGCCCACTCATATCATGGCCTGCTTTCTCTGCCTGTTTGTGCATGCAGTTCTTTTCATCATTTTGCAAGTTCTGGAAGCTGCTAAGTCACTAGAAAGTAATTTTACTAATTTTGCTGTGATGAAAGAGATTCTCTGTGATGTCGTATGATTGATGAAGGTCAGAATAAAAGGGTCATTTGCACACACACTAATTCAACGTGCAAAGTACACATTAAATTTCAAAGATAGTGTCAAAAAGAGCAACATATCTCAATAATTTATATATTGATTACATGTTGAAATTATAATATTTTGAATATATTGGGTTAAATAAAATAGATTATTCAAGTCAATTTTGCCCATTTCTTTTTACTTTTTTTTTTTACCATGGCTACTAGAAAATTTAAAATTACATATGAAGTTCATATTCTATGCTATTAGACCATAAAGATCTAGAAAACTAAAAACCTGATTCTCAAGATTAAAATTTAAGATGATGAGCAGCCACGAAAATTGCTGTTCATGACTCTGCCCTTGARATGCCCATTTAGGGAAGTAGAGGGCTTCGCAGAGTCACTATAGTGTTATAGAGTGAGCCAAAGTCTGAAGAAGGCTCAAAACTAGCACACCAGCCTACCCCCAGGGAAGCCCTACAAATAGAAACAGTTTTCSTTAAGTCTATGGCTGAAAACTGCGGCTGAATTCATCTGCCAAGACGCCCACCCTCAAGTGTTGMCCTGATTAAAAGGGCAAGATGTGCTGGAAAAAGGGGGACTCAGGGGGAAAACATGGACTTAACACATAGTAGCACTCTTAATATCCAGGTTTATGTTGCTGAGTTGATTGACAGGGTGATACCTCTAATCCTTCCCCTGCAAACCCAATGAATCAATGCGTTATAGGATAGGAAAGGACTCTCAAAGTTCACCTGAGCTGCACAAGAATAAGAGAATTATCAATTAGTACAGAGAAACTGATGGGTTGTGATTCATTACTCCCCTCCAAACTAAACCTCAGCTTCTCGGGACAGCACTATTCCCAATTTTTTCCCAGGCAGGAGACTTCCATTGCCTATGAATGTCACAATATGCCTCACGTGCTTTAGTTAATAGCTTCTCTAAGTCACTCTTAAATGGCAAGACAGAACTTCTAATACTCAAGTCATAACAGTCTATCTATTTTTTGGTGCTAACTTAYTGCCTGGTGTGATAGATTATCATTGACCGTGAGAAGTGTCAGCAAAGAGAAATAGCTACTATACAGCCAATACCAATATGGTCTTTCTTGGTAACTTTACCCATTTCCTGTGGTGGTGGGGTGGAGTCAGTCTAGCTTGAGAATTTTATAAAATTCATGAACGTTTGTCCCAGCACAACACAGACACTCAAAATTTTAGCCACTCTGAGTTTTTTTTTCCTAAACACCAACAAGAGTAGATTATCTTCTAGATCCATCTTTTATTTATATATATTAGTCATAATTGGACACAATATTTTATTTTTATGTGGTGCTGAGGATAGAACCCAGTGCTTCACACATGGTAGGCGAGTGCTCTACCTCTGAGCCACAACCCCAGCCCTGGCTCCATCTTTCTGTGATTTTATCTTGCCAACCTGATAAGATCTTTGAAGACAGGGACTTGGTTCTATATTTATGTGTCTTTTATAGCACCTATGTCAGATCTGGATAGAGAGTGTGTGTTCAGCTTTAGCAGCTAATTAACTAGTAGGGCTACAAGAGTTCATGGGACAAATGAGCTACAAACACATTGCAGTCCTACTTGAGATGGGAAGAATGTAGTTGGTATTCAAACAAGAGCAGGAGAGAGAATCATGTGGTATGGAGCTAGGAAGAGAAAGACATTTTCTCAGACCAGTTTCCTGGCATCCTATGATGCTGGTACAGGTCATATTTGTGTTGTGCTATCTCTGGAGTGCAGAAAAGGTTGCTTTTCAATCACCGTGTGAGTGGTGGGAACTTGGATAAATTATCAACAACTTAACATCTAGAAAGCAGCCTCGTAGCTACAAATGAATGCAAACCTGGGGCTGGGGATATAGTTCAGTGGGTAGAGCATTGCCTAGCATCRTGTGAATGGCCCAGGGGTTGATCCTTAGAACTGGAAAAGAAAGAGCTATACTTTATACCATCTCTGATGGTAACATTGTCAATCTTGTCTACAGTCACCTAAGCAAAAAAAGAGAGCTGCTAATTTTTTTGCACATTATTTTCTTGTGAGATAGGCAGAATCCAGGGTTTATTATCAACTCTGTCACTTTTCCCAATCTCCTGCTTCCCCTCTGTAAGACTGTCGTTGTTAATTGCTCTAGTGGACAAGCTGGATCTAGAGCTTTGGAATGTCTTATTGTCTTATCCTACTGTTCAAACTGAAGTGAAATCTGTGTGTCAAAAGAAAAACATGAAGCTCTTCATTACAGAAGAATTCAGCTAGTAGATGTAGGTGAAATAATAAAATTAAAAATCACCATTCTGTAGCTTCCCATGGAATACTTTATTTAGACT